ATGCCCATTCTCCTCCATAAGGTCTTGGAGATTTCTTTTTTTGGTGTCTATGACCTTGCAACAAATTATTTATGTTACATTTAACTTCATTCTGACGTTATTTTCTCTCGTGATAGAAAGGACGTCCGATTCTGGTTCCCCAGTCCGTCTATGAATTTCACTTGTAGCTCCTTCTTTAACCTTTTGTGTGCCCCTGATTCTTCCCCCGCTGGCCCAACTTTTGCTGGAAAGTGAAAATTCCAAAGAAGATCAAGGTTTTTGTGTGGCAGGTCTTACTTTGGAAAGTCAATACCCTGGATCGTATTCAGAGGCACTCTTCATTCTATTTGGGGCCAAATGGTGCGTTCTATGCAAGCAAGACTCAGAGGATCTCGATCACATCTTATGAGACTGCAGTTTTTCCCAGAACATATGGAGCCGTTTCTTAGGGCTCTTTGAGATTTTTTGGGCTCGTCATAGAGATTGGGGAGCTATAGTAGAGGAAGTGCTTTTGTTTCATCCTTTTCGCGACAGAAGGAGATTTTTGTGGCAGGCTTGCTTCTTTGCGATCCTATGGGGGATTTGGCTGGAGAGGAACAATAGAATTTTTAGGGGTTGGAAAGAGATGGAGAGTCGGTTTGGGACCTTATTAGACTAAATGTTTGTTTGTAGGATTCTGTCTCAAAGTGGTTTTGTTACTATCAGTTAGGTTCTATTTTTTTGGATTGGAAGCCCTTTCTTTAGTTAGGGCTCCGCCTCTTGGGCTTTTGTTTTTGTATGCCCTTTGTATAAGCTCCTATTTTCATTCGTCTTAATAAAAGTTCGGAAAAAAAAATTTATGTTACATTTAACTTAGTCAGCAAGTGCCAAGATGGTTGGAATGAAGAGAACATAAAGTTCTGTAATTTTCTTCTACAGGAGCAATGGGGAACAAATGGGCTTGGTTCTCCTCTGCTGCTGGACAAAGTGGACAATAACTATGTATTCAAATCAAGAAGGTCCCAAAAGGGGATACAAACAAAAGGCAGAGGGTAGAGCTAACCCGTCCCAAAACTCTATACAATCACCACTTTCCAATCTTGTCTAAGCAAAGGAAGATTGTAGTTACAAAAAACTTTCTTGTATAGCAAAGCCCACCAAGAAGCTAGATGCTTAGTATTTACACAAAAAGAATCGAACAAAATCAACTTATCTTCAAAAAGTTGACTATTTCGTTCCTTCCATATCGACCATGAAAGAGCCCGGGCCGCACAATTCCAAAGAACCCAAGCCTTGGCCTTGAGCTGCCTTCCTCCATAACCTTCGGCTATGAAATCCTCAATTCTTCTAGGTATGCAGAGAGATAAATCTAGCAAAGAAGCTATAAACCCCCAAGCTTTGGAAACAAAAGGGCAATGGAGAAAAAGGTGGTCCACTGTTTCATTGTTGCTCATACACTATGTGTACATAGAGGGAGAAAGAGTCCAGTGAGGTAATTTCCTCTGAAGTTTCTCTGCAGTATTTACCCCTCTATAGAACAAAGTCCAAATGAAGAATTTTACCTTCTTTGGGACTTTAAAATTCCATATCAAGTTTGCTGTAGCTGAATTAAGTTTAGGAGACGGGGACGTGAGAGCCATGAAGGCTGAATTGACTGTGAAACGTCCGGATGGGTCTGCTTTCCACCATAAAATGTCCCTTCCATTTCCGATAGCTGCACCTTCTATTTTTTCAGTGAAGTTTGCCCATCTACTCATTTCCCTTTCAAAGAGATTTCTTCTGAAACGAAGATTCCAAGTTGAGGCCTCTGCACACCAACAATCCGCAATGGACATACCTTTCTTGGAGGATAACGCAAACAAATCCGGGAAAGTGGTGTAAAGAGGGGCAAAATCAATTCATGGGTCCTCCCAAAATCTGACTTGGACACCTGAGGATACTTTGAAGAAGGAGAACTTTTGAAAATCTCTAAGGTTCTCTTGTATGTCCCTCCACGGTCTTCCAATAGAAGAACCATCCGATGGTTTTGTGCACCATCCAAAAGACTCCACAACGTAAATAGTGGCTATCACCCGTCTCCAAAGGCTATCTCTTTCCACTGTGAACTGCCATAACCATTTCATTAATAGAGCATTGTTATTTAGCCTCAAAGAACCAATTCCAAGGCCCCCCTGTGTATGAGGCAAAGCCGACCAAGACCACTTCACCAAATTCCCCACCGATCTAGAAATCCCACCATTCCATATGAAGTCCCGCATAAGCTTCTCCATAGACTTTATGATGGTCTCTGGAGCTTTGAGAATTGAAAAGAAGTATATGGGGATGCTATTGAGGACCGACTGAGCAAGAGTAAGCCTACCACCCTTGGAAAGAAGCAAAGATCTCCATTTTTGGAGTCT